CCATTGTAGCTCTGGCTGGAGATGTTTCGGTTTGTCATCCTGCTGGAAGGTGACCTCTACCTCAGTCTCAAGTCTTTTGTAGACTCTAACAGGTTTTGTTCTAAGATTGCCCTGTATTTGGCTCCATCCATCTTCCCATCAACTCTGACCAGCTTCCCTGTCCCTGCTGAAGAAAAGCATTCCCACAACATGATGCTGCTGCCACCATCATGTTTCACAGTGGGGATGGTGTGTTCAGGGTGATGTGCAATGCTGGTTTTCTGCCACACGTAGTGTTTTGCTTTTAGGCCAAAAAGTTCTATTTTGGTCTCCTCTGACCAGAGCACCTTCTTCTACATGTTTGCTGTGTCCCCCACATGGCTTCTCGCAAAGGGGACTACTTATGGCTTTTTCTCAACAATGACTTTCTTCTTGACACTCTTCCATAAAGGCCAGATTTGTGGAGTGCATGACTAATAGTTGTAATGTGGACAGATTCTTCCACCTAAGCTGTGGATCTCTGCAGCTCCTCCAGCATTACCATGGGCCTCTTGGCTGCTTCTCTGAGTAATGCCCTTTTGTCCAGCCTGTCAGTTTAGGTGGACGGCCATGTCTTGTAGGTTTGCAGTTGTGCCATACTCTTTCCATTTTCGGATGATGGATTGAGCAATGCTCCGAGATGTTCAAAGCTTGAGATTTTTATATAACCTAATCCTGCTTTAATCATCTCCACAACTTTATCCCTAACCTGTTTGGTGTGTTCCTTGGCCTTCATGATGCTGTTTACTCACTAATGTTCTCTAACAAACCTCTGAGGGCTTTACAGAACAGCTGTATTTATACTGAGATTAAATTACACACAGGTGGCCTAGATTTTAGTTAGGGGTATCCGAGTAAAGGGGGCTGAATAAAAATGCACGCCACACTTTTTTCAGATATTTATTTGTAAAAAATGTTGAAAAACCATTTATCATTTTCCTTCCACTTCACACAATTATGTGCCACTTTGTGTTGGTCTTATCACATAAAAATCCCAATAAAATATGTTTACGTTTTTGTTGTAACACGACAAAATGTGGAAAATTTCAAGAGGTATGAAGACCTTTTCAAGACACTGTAAATAACATTGGCAGTTTATACGTATTAGTTCTTGTAGCTCCCAAGCAATTGGCGAGTTGCCATTTCTCTAGGGGAATGTAGGTACAACGCGGGATACATTATGTAGTACAATTGCGACCATTTTTTTTTTTTTTTTTTTAAATTCATTTTGCAGTGACAGGTCCCTCCAGTCATTAGGTGGGGGGAGGGGGTCTGTTTTTTATTGTATTGCCATTTTCAGCTCCAGAGCATGATGCCGTTAGCCAGCTAGTTGGGAGAAGAATATAAAAATTGCAATGAATCATTGCCACAGCCAGTTCAGCAATATTCTCATATTTTCTGACCAGCATAGCCTGTGGCTTGATCTGTGCAATAAATAAGATGGGGAATTACATAAAGTAACTGGAAAATCTACAATTTCTGGGGAAATTGTGTGAAGTGTTCTTGCCTCCAACACTAACCAAGTGATTGATGAAATGTAAACAGTGCACATGGCAAGCTTGAAGAAATGCATTTGAACTTTTATTTTGCAGCTCACACTGTAGCTTTGGTCACTCTGCTTCCTGGTGACTCCCCTTCGTTTGCTATGGCAACTCAGTCAGAACAAGCTGAGAGGGGCTTTTATAAACAAACTGCTCCAACTTGCTCACTTCACTGGCGGTTGCCATCTTCAAACGGTTGTAGTTTTAAAAGTATAAATCCTACAGCAAAGAGCTTTATATTGTGAGACTCACAAGACCCAGACCTAAATGTTGATGTATAGTATGTCTCTGAAATATTAAAAATGAAGGCACAGTCGTAGTTTAGAAATGGCCCTTCAAATTTCAGGTGGCTGCGAGTGAAGTTTCAATGAAAGTCAATGGGCGCGGAGTGAGTTGCAAACAAATGGTCATATTGTGAAAACTATCAGGAGTATGGCTTAGCCGTGGACATTTTTAGTGACAGCAGGGACAGCTGAACGTTTTGATATAAGATTTGTGTAGGTGGGCTTGAAAATGAGGGAGTGATGGCAGTTTAGAAATCATGTCCTGATTTTTCCTTCCACACTCTAGCTTTTGTCAGCTCCCACTCTAGTTGCGCCATTCATTTCTATGGGAAAATTTCACCACAAAAAAACGCGATATTTCGTGAACCATTCGGCGAAACGTTCCACAAAGTAACAACGCACCAATCGGGAACAATCCGCACGTTTCCGTATATTACTGTCTATGTAGTGTAAGAACTGTGGGAGGAGTTAGGGTGGCTATAATAATAAGAACCTATATGTGAGATAACAGGGGAGGGGTCTGCAATGCAAAAACACCTAAAAAAGAGAGGCAGGGAACAACGCTCAACTTCCAAGTGTTCTGGAATGGGGCTCAGAGAAGTTTGTATTGCCCGCCCTCAGTGTCACTGAACTTCTCTGTGACATCCTCTTTGTCAGTATCATTGAACTTCCCCAGAGAGATCCTCATTGTCCGTATCACTGAAACTCCCCCTGAGCGATCCTTTATGTATCACTCCTGTCAGTAATCACTGAACTTCTTTCAGAGAGATCCTCCATCAGTATCAATGAACTTCCCCTCAGAGGAATCTTCACATCAGTGTCACTGATTCAGTCCCAGAGAGATCTTTCACTTGGTGTCCGTTGAGCTTTCCCAACCTCTCCATCTGCTCAGTAAGCTTCGAGTCTTTTTTAAAAACCGCCCGAACTACCAAAATATCAACCTATGGAGAGTCAAATTTGAATTTAACATTAAAATCTTTCTTTTGGCTTGTATGTTCACTTCCAAATATTTCTGGCTCTATAAACCATCTAAAAATACAAATAATTCAGATTTCACCAATCCTGAGGTGGCAAAACCCATTTCCCAGAATCCTTTGCAAAGATATGCAAATGAGCAAGTTCAGCCAGTAACATTCAAATCATACCTGTGCTGATAACTGTCACCAGTGTGATGCCTATGGGAGCTCTCAACTGACTTTTCATGCCATAGCTGGACACAGGAGCAGGACCACGGCAACCGCCTGTAAAATGACAGCTTTCTTACCTATAAAGGTTGGGGGGGGGGTATTCTGCTGTAACAAAGCCTTCATTTTTTCCTTCATGTAATCCTCCCAGCACTTTATGTGGCAATTTAAGTGTCTGCTGCAGCCTCTCCATGTATACAAGTGTAGAATCGAAATTCAAGAAACCTCAAGGTGGTAATGTTGTGTTATTAACCCCTCACCTACCGGGCACTTCTACCCCCTTCCTGCCCCCCCGGGCACTTCTACCCCCTTCCTGCCCCCCGGGCACTTCTACCCCCTTCCTGTCCAGGCCAATTTCCAGCTTTTCAGCGCTGTTGCACTTTGAATGACAATTGCGCAGTCATACAACACCGTACCCATATGAAATTTTTATCATTTTTTTGTGACAAATAGAGCTTTATTTTGGTGGTATTTAATCACCTCGGGGTTTTTTTATTTTTTCTTAAACCAAAAACCACTGAAAATGTTGAAAAAAAAATGTTTTTTTTCTTAGTTTTTTGTTATAAAATTTTGTAAATAAGTGATTTTTTCGCCTTCACTGATGTGCACTAATTGAGGCTGCACTGATGGGCACTGAATAGGCTGCACTGATGGGCACTGTGATGAGGAGGCACTGGTAGGTGGCACTGATAATATGGATTTGGATTTTCCAAATTCTAACCGTTATGCTGGTCATTCACAGTTTGAATTTTGGGAAATTCCTGCTTAATGGGTTGAACTTTGGGATAAGCACACATTTAGATTTACTAAAACTGGCGCACTTACAATCTGGTGGCGCTGTGCATGGCAGCCAATCGGCTTGTTCAGTTAAGCTTTGACAATAAGGCTCCATGTAGACGGGGAATTTGGAAAACTCTTCTGAACGATGGAAACTGACTGCTGGAAAACGTAGGTTAAAAAAACGTCTGTTAGCTGCGTTTGCATACCGCGTTTATGTGCGTTTTTTTAAGATAACTTCAGGAGACCTTCCAAAATGCCCAGAAATGCACTGAAAAATAGTCAAAAATTAACTATTTCAAACATTTTAGGAGAAATAGAGAGAGCAGAAGCAGAGAGAGAGTGTAGTATGTGTTGAGATGACCTGTCTTTTCTGGTTGTCTTCACTATGGAACCCATCATGAGCATAATGCAGCGCATTCTACCATTTTTTCCTTCACGCAAAACCTGGAACTGACTGCGCTGGTGTACCGAGTCCATTTGAATACATGGAACTGACTGCGCTGGTGTACCGAGTCCATTTGAATACATGGAACTGACTGCGCTGGTGTACCGGGTCAATTTGAATACATGGAAAACACTTTGCATGCATTTCTGATGATGAAAAAAGGCTCTGGGCAGCATCTGGTCATGGAACAGTTAAAAAAAACGCTTCTAAATGCAAACGCGGTTAAATGCGTTTACATACGTTTACAAGCATTTGGCATTTGAAATGCTGATAAAATCTACTCCTGAACACAAGTTTGGTGCATTCAAAAAAACAACTGTAAACTCAACTGCCTGTAAACAACATAGTGTACATGGACACATAGGAGAACATGAGGGAGAGTTCAGGGGCTGCTGAAAAAAATGCAGAAAAGTTCCTAAACGTGAGTTTATCAGCCGCAGTGTACATGAACCCTAAAACCTGGAAGCTGATTGGTTACTATGCAGAGCTGCAGCAGATTTTGCACTCTCCAGTTTTAGTAAATAGCCCCATTGTCCACAGGAGCCATGCAATTTGTGTTTGAATCTTGGTGTGCGAAGGCCTTTGGGTGCGCTCAGAGTAGATTTACATCGTGTATGGCCAGGAATATATTTAAATGAGTTTTTGGTACTTGGAGTTCAGCTTTAGTCCTCCTGCACACGGGATGTTTTTTACAGCGGCTGTTTTTGGCATTTGACATTTTTTTCTACAGCCAGTAAACCCCCCGGCATGTTCTCCTATGTGTCCATCCCCGGCATGTTATCCTATGTGTCCATCCCCGGCATGTTATCCTATGTGTCCATCCCCGGCATGTTATCCTATGTGTCCATCCCCGTCGCGTTATCCTATGTGTCCATCCCCGGTGTGTTATCCTATGTGTCCATCCCCGGCGTGTTATCCTATGTGTCCATCCCCGGCGTGTTATCCTATGTGTCCATCCCCGGCGTGTTCTCCTATGTGTCCATCCCCGCGTGTTCTCCTATGTGTCCATCCCCCGGCGTGTTCTCCTATGTGTCCATCCCCGGCGTGTTCTCCTATGTGTGTCCATCCCCGGCGTGTTCTCCTATGTGTCCATCCCCGGCGTGTTCTCCTATGTGTCCATCCCCGGCGTGTTCTCCTATGTGTCCATCCCCGGCGTGTTCTCCTATGTGTCCATCCCCGGCGTGTTCTCCTATGTGTCCATCCCCGGCGTGTTCTCCTATGTGTCCATACACACATAGACTGTAATAAACGTTTTGTTTTGGCTGGAAAAAAAAAACCCAGGACTAGTGGGTTTCTAGAGAAGATTTTTAGCTGTAAAAATGCTCTAAATGCTGAAAAATGTGGCAAAACGCGGTAAACTGCCGCAAACTGGTGTTTTTTTTGGACTTTTTTGACCCCCCCAAAATTTTTTTTTTTTAAAAAATGCAAATGTGGCAAAACTCCGCTAAATGCTAATGCAAAAATGCTTAAAAAAGCTACAACTGGAGTGGGCGGAGTAACTGGGTGGAGTGGGCGGAGTAACTGGGTGGAGTGGGCGAGAGTGGGCGGAGTGGGCGGAGTAACTGGGTGGAGTGGGCGGAGTAACTGGGAAAAGGTTGGACTGGGCAGAGTAACTGTGTGGAGTGGGCGGAGTGAGTAAAGATAGTGAACATTACACTAACCAATTGATCAAATTTAAAAAGTGCCCATGGAAAGCTTGATAGAGTGAGAAATGCATTTCAACTTTTATTTTTCAGCTGTCACACTCTCGCTTTTGTCACACTCTGCTGCCTGATCACACACCTGGGTTCCTATGGCAACTCACTCTACAGCAAGGGCAGAGAAGAGCGGTTAAAAACAAACTGCTCCAACTTGCTCACTTCACTGGCGGTTGCCATCTTCAAACGGTTGTAGTTTAAAAAATATAAATCCTACACTGAAGAGCTTTAAATTGTGAGAATCACAAGACCCAGACCTACATTTTGATGTATGTGTGTATGTCTCTGAAATATTACAAATGAAGGCACAGTCGCAGTTTAGAATTTGCCCTTCAAATTTGAGGTGGCTAGAGTGGAGTTTCAATGAATGTCAATGGGCGGCGTGAGCTGCAAACAAATGGTCATATTGTGAAAACTATCAGGACTATGGCTTAGCCGTTTAGTGGCACCAGGGATAGCTAAACGTTTTGATATAAGATTTGTGTAGGTGGGCTTGGAAATGAGGGAGTGATGGCAGTTTACAAATCATGTCCTGATTTTTCAGCTCACACTCTAGTTTTGAACATTCCGCCATTCATTCCTATGGGACCAATTTCACCACAAAAACGCCGATATTTCGTGAACCATTCAGCGAAACGTTCCACAAAGTAATAGCACACCAATGGGGAACAATCCACACGTTTCGGTATATTACTGTCTATGTAGTGTAAAATCTGTGGGAGGAGTTAGGGTGCTAAAATTGGCTATAATAATAAGAATAAGAATATATATGTGAGACTAGAAAATCTACAATTTCTGGGGAAATTGTGTAAAGTGTTCTTGCTGCAACCTTTACCAAATGATTGATGAAATGTAAGCAGTGCACATTGCAAGCCTGATAGTGAGAAATGCATTTCAGCTTGTATTTTGAAGCTCACAGTCCAGCCTGGTGAGTCATCTGCCTTGAGTGACCTTTGGTTGCTGCACCTGGAGAGGGCGGAGTAGGCTCACTGTGCTGAGACAGCTGGGTTGCTATGACAACTCACTCTGAGAGGAATGTCAGCATGTCTGTTCTAAACAGGCTTTTCAAACTTGCCAAGTTCACTGGCGATTGCCATCTTCAAACGCTTGTAGTTTTAAAAGTATAAATGCTACCGTGAAAAGGTTTATATTGTGACAATCACAAGAAACAGACCTACATTTTGATGTATAGTATGTATGATAAAAAATGAAGGCACAGTCGCAGTTTAAAAACGTCCCTTAAAATTTCTGGTGTCTAGAGTGGAGTTTCAATGAAAGTCAATGGGAGGGGTGAGGTGCAAACAAATGGTCATATTGTGAAAACTATCAGGAGTATGTCCTAGCCGTGAACATTTTTAGTGACAGCAGGGTTAGCTGAAACGTTTTGATATAAGATATGTGTAGGTGGGCTTGAAAATGACAGAGTGATGGCAGTATTCCTCAATAGTCACAAAGGATACAAATTCACTTTGTGTGCACCAAATGCCTTTGCAAACTTGGGTATTACCTTGTAAAAGTAGCAGTGACATCACTAGGCTGTACATGAGCAGAGCTGTGCCAGATGTCCAGCAGGCCCCACCCACTGAAGACCCCCTGAAGTAGGGGGTGGAGGCGAGACCAGTCACCCTGCACAAGGAGAGGGCAGCGGTGACTGGTCTTTATTACAGAAAGCTCCTGCAAAGAGGTGAAGTTTCACACTGCATTACTGCACAGATCTGGAAGAAATACACAAAGAATTGAGGAGGAATACACATGACTCTGGTAATTGGACAATATTTGGTTATCCCAGGGTTTGGCTTTCACCCCCCCCCCCCCCCCGGTATCTTCATTGGGGACATTTATCTCCCTTTCTTTTTCAGTGAAACTTTCCTGCTCAGTGGGGGCTGCTGACTTTTAATTTTTTTTTTTTCATAGGGGTTTATGTAGGTTTTTGTTTTTTTTTTTTTTTCTAAGGGCAAAGATAGCCATAAAGTTATGACTTTGTTTGCTGCGTTTGGCTTTTAACTGCCTCCCACCCGCCATATAGTAATATGACGGACGCAAGGTGGTTCTCTCGTTCTAGCAGGATGTCATATGACGTCCTCCCATTCTAACCACGCATGCGCGGCTCACGGAGTGCGCACCGCGGCGATCGGTTTTGCGCTGTGTCCCTTGGACACAGCGGATCACCGATCCACGGAAAGAGCCGAACATGTCGGCTCAGTCATCTGATCAGCTGTGTCCAATCACAGCTGATCACATGTAAACAGGGAAATGCCGGTTATCGGCATTTCTCTCCCCACGAGCTGTCACGCTGACAGCTCATGAGGAGAGCCGGTAATCGGCATTCCTCGGAGGGGAAATGTACACTGATTATCAGAGCACTGATGATCTGTGTAGCCCCAGCAGTGCCTGCTCTCAGTGCTTATCCATGCCACCTGCCAGTGCTCATCAGTGCCACATCAATGCCACATATCAGTGCCTTTCAGTGTCACCCGTCAGTGCCACCTATCAGTGTGCATCAGTGCCACCTATCCGTGCCATATGAGAGTGCTTCCTTTCAGTGTCCATCAGTGCAGCCCATCAGTGCCCATCAGTGCAGCCTCATTAGCGCACATCAGTAAAGGAGAAAAAGGGATATAAATGCCTTCTAGGCTTGTGGTTACAAGTCCAGTCCAAATTAAATGCAAAGTAACCTATGCTTCCATCAGCAACAGCAGGATTTATTTTCCCCTTTGTGAGATCTGAAAATGTGTTAATGTGATTCTTATTTATTTCAGGTACTTATACAGCGCCATCAATTTACACAGCGCTTTACATATATATTGTACATTCACATCAGTCCCTAACCCTCAAGGGGCGTACAATCTAAAGTCCCTAACTCACATTCATACATACACATACTAGGGACAATTTAGACAGGATCCAATTAACTTACCAGCATGTCTTTGGAGTGTGGGAGGAAACCGGAGTACCCAGAAGAAACCCACGCAGGCACAGGGAGAACATGCAAATTGCAGGCAGGTGGTGCCGTGGTTGGGATTCAAACCAAGGACCCGAGTACTGCCAGGCGGAAGTGCTAACTATTTAGCCACTGTGCTGCCCTATTCTTGCTTGGTGATGTATTCAAGCCACTGAAAGTACAGCTGATTTGTTTTTGTTTAAGCTTTCTAGGCGAATGTCTTGGTATTTTCTGCATTAGTTGATTAGATGTGAAGAGCAGTGATGTTTAACCACTTCCAGTCCGGACACTTTTACCCCCTTCCTGTCCAGGCCAATTTTCAGCTTTCATCACTATCACACTTTGAATGACAATTGCGCGGTCATGCAACACTGTACCCATATGAATTTTTTAGCATTTTTTTTTTATACAGATAAAGCTTTTTTTGTAAATGTAAAATTAAAAAGTCCAAACATTTTGAAAAAAAGTGTTTTTCTTGGAATAAATTTTGCCCAAGATTTATGATGAAATACTATTTGCAAAATTTTATATTTATATTTTTAGTAAAAAAAAATTAACCCAAATTAGTTTATAACCAAAAATTATAATTTTTAAACATTTTTTTTTTTTTTTACATTTTCTTATATTTATATATATATATGTATGTATGTGTGTGTGTGTGTGTGTGTGTGTGTGTGTGTGTGTGTGTGTATATATGTGTGTGTATATATGTGTGTGTGTGTGTGTATATATGTGTGTGTGTGTGTGTGTGTGTGTGTGTATATATATGTGTGTGTATATATATGTGTATGTGTATATATATATATATATATATGTATGTATATAATATATATATGTGTGTGTGTGTGTGTGTGTGTGTGTGTGTGTGTGTGTGTGTGTGTGTGTGTGTGTGTGTGTGTGTGTGTGTGTGTATATGTGTGTGTGTGTATATGTGTGTGTGTGTATATATGTGTGTGTGTGTATATATATGTGTGTGTGTATATATGATATATGGTGTGTGTATATATATGTATATTTATATATATATATATATATATATATATATATATATATATATATATATATATATATATATATATATATAAATATATATATATATATTATATATGTGTGTGTGTGTGTGTGTGTATATATATATATATATATATATATATATATATATATATATATATATATATATATATATATATATATATATATGTGTGAATGTATGACTCTGCATGTGATCACTGATTGGGCAATCAGTGATCACATGATCGGGACCTCGTACAGAGGTACCGTCCGACGATTGGTGTTCCACTGTGTGTCCAGAGGACACAGCGGGCACCGGATCGCAGTGCTGCGTGCTCCCAGGGAGCATGCACAAGCAGGGTGCGGGGAGGCCTTTTATATACCACAGCCGGACGGGAGGTGGTTAAAGCAGAAAAGAAATCCTCCTTTGCAGTTGAGCTCAACTTCCACA